GACGACCCGGTTAGGAATGCTGTCGGGCCCTGGGGCATTATTCTTTTTAGATTTTAGGACAGCTTGTATGGGCGGATAGCAGTCATGTCCACAGTTTTATTATAATACTCATAGCTAGCTACTTATAATACAACGTAGAGTTCACATCTCCCTACAGAGTCTCTACCACGCTTTCCCGTACGTCCGTTCAGACTTTTGCCTCCGTACAGCTCACCTTCTCATCACGTACTTGAAGTTCAGGCCGCCCAAACCATCCCTTGCGCTCTAACCGTAGTTTGCTCCTTAAGCCTATTCTTATTACAAACGCCGTATCAGTATATCGTACGCTTCATTAACAAATAGACCGACACGCGCATCCGTCCTCTCGGGCTATATAGATAGTGTCGCTGTCGCTGCTATTATATGCTATGCCTCGCAGCTATTAACTGTTTCGCGTTACCGAAGAACTTATTTAGCTAAAGTATATCTTAATAAAGAATATAATTATTAATAATCTTATAAAGCTATTTCTAAGAGTCAAGTTTAATTAATTTATAAAACTATTATAGCTTAATACTAAGCTAGTTATTTAGAATCTAAAAAAGGGTAATCCTAGACCTTATATAACTATAGTGACTTATATAGCAAAAAGAGACACTCTTTCTTATTTTTCTTATAAGGTTTTTTCTAGGTTTTATTAAGGCTCTTACTAAACAAAATAAACTCATCTCCTAATACTTTATACAGAGTCCCAAAAAGGTAATCAGAGCAGCTACAGGCAATGCTCCCTGAGAGGGAGTGTCAGCGGAAGACAGAGTTCTCTGACCACCGCAACTGTTCGCCACACGCTATTACTTAGAAATGCATACACTCACAAATGCTGCAGTTCGCATTGCAACGCTGATTTATGATCTCCTTCTAGGTGATTCTATAGCTTGCCTATTCCATGCGTATATATAGCGGTCATCCTGCTCCTCAGGAGTTAAGAGAGTAACTCAATCAATTCAATTGAACCCTCTCTCTCTTCATACTGCTTATCTAATCAGTATCTCCGTACGCTATTTGCTACATCCTCTAACAGCATAGGCCGCTTTTACCGCAAAGAGCAATTTTGCAGTCACTATGTATGGCATAGATGAAATAGTATCCTACACTCAATCTTGAACGCGCCTCGGCACCCAACTGAGTTGGCCGTTTTGGCTGCCTGACTCAGGAACTACTCACTCGGCTCCAACTTCAGCTCAGCCTCTACTGAGGGCGCACCGCCACTGCTCTCGCTGCTCACCCGCTTACTCACCTTCTATCCGATACTGTTTAAGAGACTCACTCTCACTTTATCCTATACTCAGTTCTACTCCTTCTTGTTATTAACAAATTAGACTATATCATAGAGGTCATCCTACGCGTTAACAGGCCACAGTTGATTTCAGTGCGTTGCAGTAGCTGGCAGCCTTGCATAGAGTCAAATAGGCTTATATCAACGTCATTTGGGCACGCCTACACGTTGGTGTGCAGAAATCGGCCCGCCAAGTGGTTCTGTACGTTAGTATTCCGTAGCTCAAATTAATACCGTTAGCGGCGCTATGCCAACTCTTGATCGCCTAAGAACCTGTTTATCGTTGAAATAACGTGATAAGGGCGTTCAACTTTTTAGTGCCTAACAGAATTGAGGAAAGCTGTGTGAACAAGCAACGTACTACGATAATCGAGAAGAAGTAATGTTAGCACAGCGCTAGTAATTTTGCAACAGAACGGACTCTTAACGAGACAGCTACTTCGACAGTTTAGCGGTACTGCTGTGACCAATATCTGTGGCTATCGACCAGAGAAGCTTCTAGGCATCCAAGTGGCGCTGTATGATAACTAACTATTACTAGAGCTATGCTAACATTATTTATGCCCCTTAACGTCCAGTACGGGTCTGTGCAACATACGGTTCTGTGCAACACCAAATTTTCACACCGCAATTTGAGATACAACTTCGAACAGCCACCATTACGCCACCACAAGGCCAAATCTCTTCGAAACAGGTTCAAATTGAAGCTGAGTATTCTCTCTATCTATTGGTACTTATAATGGCTGATAAATATGTTAATCTATCAAGTTCTGAGCGTGTGGATGCAGCTATTCAATTACTTCAAAAGAATCCTTCGTTAAGCCTGCGAAAAGCAGCCACTATTTGCAATATCAATCCCTCCTCTGTTTCTCAATGCCAGCGAGGTCTTACACGGCCTAAAGAGCAAGCTGATCAATAACGACAGCTATTAGCACCAGCAGAAGAGGCTATTTTGATTAAATATGCACTCAAATATAATGATTAGGGTCTTCTACTTTAGTTTAAGCATCTACATTAATTTACCTTAGAAATCCTTTATTAAAAAGGCACTTGAATTACTCTAAGATATTATTAGCATTAAGCGCTATTATAACGTAACCCATAGCTTTGAATAGCCCTCTTATAGCCTATTAATTGTCATTAAGCTTCTGTTATAAAGGGTTAATTGCAAGGCAATAGTTTACTTTATTCTATCGAATTTGTATAGAACACTTAATTAGAGATAAAGATATTTATAATATAAATAAGAAGAGCTTTATAATAAGGTAATGCAAAGAACTTATGTTCTTATCCCCATTTAGCAGAAACAAGCGTTTATACATCAAGATAATAATAAAGAATAGATATCTATTATTAAATGCGTATAAGAAAGAAATAATAATAAGGCTATTGCCCTATTTATTATTTTAAAAGGCAAATAATAATAGGCTGCTTAGTAGGATAGTATTAATGATTCTTATATAAAGATAGCTATAAGCGAAAAGGGATAGACTAATAATATCCTTATTATAAATTAGCTAACAGAGCATTTTAATTCTCTTATAAAGCCTTATGAAACACTTATAAAACGCCTACTTATTATTAATAGCTATGAATCTTATTATATAATTAATTTCATCAAATTCTATGACTTACAGAATATAATTCTGCTTATCTTATCTCTTTATATTACGCATTATCTTTAACTACTTGATATAGCCTATTTTGGTCCTTTTTAATGTTAGTATTCAGCTAAAGTTAAGGCTTATAATTAATTTAATAAAACATATGTTGAAAAACCTGATTTTCTACGCTTTTATTAAAGAGCTAGAGCTGTAGCTCTTAATTCAGAGAATATTAATGCAGAATATAAAGCAACAGGTCTTATTCCGTATAATCCACAGCGCGTTTATAACAAAATAGCACTTATATAACCAAATGCCTCTTTTGATTCAGATTTGAACAAAATACTCAAACAAACAGATCAAGAAATTAGCACTGTACGTCGAATTCAGCGATTTATTGAAACAGCAATAGAGGATGTACCTGGCAAGCGAATTCTACTTGATAAGATACACGCTCTTAACGCTGAAAACGCTCTATTACTCAAAACTAATGCCGAGTTAGTTGCGAATGCTCGTACAAGCAAAAGAACAAACAAACAGCTATCTACAGAGGGTAGATGCTTATCCAAAACGACTGCAGATGAGCTTAGAGCACAAGCAGCAGAAAAGGAGGCACAGAAAGAGGCACAAAAGGCTCAAGCACTTGAGAAAAAGGCTGCAATAACTGCTAAAAAAGCGGAGGAGCGTCATAATAGGGCCCTACGTCAATTAGCAAGGGCAGCTATTGCAGAGGATAAGGGAGAAAAACAACGTCAACGTCTGCCTCCGAGGTCAAGGGCAAAATGCAATTATCTGCTACGGATCGAGGAGGATGTATTTGAATGAGGGGTAACACCATAGATCTCTATTCTATTTCCTATTTAGGCAGTCCGTACAGCTTCAAAAACGTTATGTTGAACTGTTTAAGCGCGGTTTGACCATGCGTTTCATATACGTTTTGTTACAGATCTGATACGCGTTTCGCATGAGATCCGCATGTATTTTTGGTATCTGCGTTTCACGCTACGCAGCATCTGTACGTATAAATACGTGCTCTTCGCACTCATTTAGATAGAACAACTTGCTATTTCCACACTGATCCGTCGATTAGTCAGCACAGTTCGACACGTTAATAGTGAACTGAATTCGTTGTAACAGCGCTGGCGAGGGTTGTGCCAAGCAATTTTGTTGCACAGAACCGTATGTTGCACAGACCCGTACTGGACGTTACTGTAGGACTAGTACTACGGGCGAGGCCCGAAGTAATGTTAGTTCAGCGTGCTAGTATCTGTACTCGTACGTAGTAAACACGCTCTGTACAGAACAGCTATATCAAATAGAAGTTAGATGTGGTCATTCGACTCGTCTGAATGGATGTACACAAAACAAGCTCAAGAATGACGAATCACGACACTGTGCACCGTAGCAAAAACCAACCGCTACTAGTACCAGACTAACATCACTTCAGCCCTCCATCGCCGATACTCCCAAGTTAGAATGAAATCAATGTAGCTAAGTTTCTCCGATGTTGAGTTGGCTCACCTTATCCTGCTAAGGCTATGCCATTCTATCTAGGATCATCTGATGCGTTGCGAACGCTATTGAGTGGCAACCTTTGCGTAGCTTAAAAACTCAATAGCTGCTACGGACTACCTACGACTCTTTGTCCCTAGATTGGAAGCGACCTACCTCGCTCTAGGTCAGTGTTCACCGATCGATGGAGCCTCTTACGGTCGGACAGGCTGCCGCAGCGATCAACCTTGGCTTGATCTTGGTACGTTCTACCTCGGGTTCTGGCAAAGGATTCTATGCTAAAGCAAGCTCACCGCAGTGCAACTGACTCTTCCTCTTCTTCAAGTCTTGTTACTTGCAGGATTACTGCCATCAGAGTGTAATGCAGTCACCTGGTGCGTTTTGCTCATCGGTCTAGTTAGTACCCCTCATGGCTCAGAGCTGATTTACCGGACCTGAACAGGTCTGCTGTAAGCCGATTTATTCAGTCTTCGCTTTGGCCATCAATACTTACATGCGATACTTCGGCGGAAAGAAGAGACGGAGTTCTGGGCCGCGTTAGCTTCTCTACGCTTACGGCGACATTTGGGATGGCTCTTATCATATCTGCTGGAATTCTGACTCCAATTGGATTGGAAGAGACTGTTGTGGCTGGGTCTTTCGTCAATGCGAAATTTGAATATGCCGTGGACCCAACCCCTTTTGGAACTGAGACTCCGCCTAGGGACCTATATATTTTATCTCGTACCTGCGCGGGCGGTCTTGTTCCATGTCCGGGAGTAGAGCCGTCCGATTTTGCGTTAATCCAACAAGGTGGCAACTTACCGAATATCACGCTTTTCGACAACTATGTCTTGCCAAACATCACCGATTGCTTCGCAAGTGGTTTCAGAAGCGTAGGTGATCTCAGAACAAGCCCATTCGAGATTCAATACCGGCAATATCAGATGGTCTCCATCGATGAGGAATCTATGGACCTGGAAAATAACAGGGAGGATGCAAAGAATAAAGCAACCAATACCACGGGAAAATTTGAAATCCTGGAGAAATTAGTCCTTCTCGACAAAATAGTGGTCCGAGAAGGGATTGTTGCTGATCTTGTCAATGGTGGCGTTGGATTCCGAAACCACACTGTACCCAGCACGCCTCGCATGAGACACGGCGCCCAGTGGACCGAAGATATCCTCTGGCTTGAACCAGTTACGGCATGTGTCGATACGAACTGGTCCGTTCAACATAGACAACGTTCAGCGCCATTTTCAACACACAATCCACTCTGGTCATCCGACTTGTCGCTAGTGAATCGGGGTGGAGGGATCGTTCCGACTCAAATTCCAGATTCTAAATTAATCAATCCGCCTTCTCAGTCAGATCCCGAGCTTCAGTCGAGGGCACTCTTAGCAAAGTCTTTATTCAATTACCGCTTATCAGAATTCCTGAAACTCTCACGCTCGAATGCAACTTTTGGTTCCAGATACGATTTCCTGGATTGGCGCATGTGGGCCGGGATGCAATTTTGGGATTTTGATGGTCGTAAGGGTTTGACACTGGGTCCTATGGAGGATCCTAGTCTCGCGCCAGATACTAGATGGGAGCCTCCTGATAAGATTGAGCTCGATTCAACTCAGTTCAACCTTGCTTCCTTCGACGTACAAGCCTTTCAAGAATATTATTCTTCAAGGTATTCCCCATGGGATCCGGCAGCCAGCTCACCGGATGTAAGTATAGAAGATGCCTGTGAGTATAATCCAAGTGCCTTGTATGGACAATCGAAGCAGAGCAGCCGAATACCTAACATATTTGGTTGAAGTGTCAGCATGCCGGGCAACTTTGCCTAATAGTGCCCCAGATATTGACCTTGTCCTCGTCCGTTGCGGATTCCTCCTCACACCACCAGCCCCTACAATTGAAGCGAGTGAATACAGTTTTCAGTCTCTATATGTTTGTGCCAGTACTGTTCGTGCAACGGTAAAGGAAGTTTCATTTCAGTACAAGCAAACTTCAGAACGGCCGTCACTGAGCGACCTATCAGTAAGTCATGTTTCCCCCAAGAACTACTCTAGCAGGACTTCGAAACCACTTTGGGCGGTCGAGAAGCTTGAAAAAAAATGGAATGTCTCCTCAATCCAACCACTTTGGGGCATCGTGGACGGTAATGCCTCCGAAAGTTCGTCAAATTTCAGGACGGTTGAAAAAGAGAGCTTGTACTTGCCAGATTTCCAAATTAATGATAGCAGGTATCAGGGGTGGGGCGATACCATGGTAACTTATCTTCCCACGAGAGGTTGTGTTCCGACTTACCAGCGACAGGCTGCATCGAAAGGGCCGGGAATGTTTCTTGACTTCGTGTACAACGTTCATGACGCCCTAGAGTATCATGCAAGAGACATCGACTACCAAGGCACAGAGAATGCTCAAATGCTCGCAAAATGGCGCGAGCTCTCAGCTTCACCTGAGACAGCCGCGAAGATTCCCAATCTCATATGGACTGACCTTGCTGCGAATATGCTTGTCGGCACCAAGTCCCTCCTGTCAGCCTTTCCCAATGCACAATTCCATCAGGTGCGCAGCAACAAGCGAAGAATCTTTTTCGACTACGCCTGGGCCGTTCCCGCACTCATTTGCGCAGCTATCTGGATACTTTGCGCCGTCTTGTGTCTCTTATTGTGCCTTTTCCCCAAGTCTCGTTCACGAATGAGGCTCTCGAGGCTGAGAGTCTTGATTAATCAACTCTCCGTTGGCCGAGCATTGGTCGTTGCAGAGAAATCCAATGCGGTTGACTTCAGAGGTTCAACAAAAGAGTGGCTAGCCGCGGCTGGTCGGAAGATGATCTATCTTCCCACGCTCGAGGGCTCTGTTGATGATGGAATAGAGCTAGGCTCTCGTCCTGCGAGAGGTGAATGTAGCAGGGAAGGCGGCGCCTGGATGGACCAGCCGAGACGTTTGGCTACGACCAGATCCCGACGTGCATCGTTTTAATGCGCTGCAGGAAACCTGATCTCTTAAAAAAGAAAAGAAAATAAATGCCGAAGCCTCTAAAGTGGATACGGCAATAACCGTTGATCATGATGAATGCATCTACCTCCGGATGGAGACTCAGTCGGAAGACGCAGTCTTGTGGCTGGGTAAACATGCACTCATCCACTTGCTGAATTCTGTATACCCATTCAAGTGCTTCTTAGAAGATGCAAGGCATACTGTAGCTTCATAGGGCGATCCATTCCATGATTTAAATAGACATCTTCAAACAGGCTACAATGTTTCTAACTGTTTCAACAATCTATGCTTATTTTACGCTGGATCTCATTAAACAGACACGGCAACAGATCCAGGGCGCAGGTGCAGACTGCGTCGGGTGATCTGACCTCTGACCACTAGCTTGAGTATGTCTTCAATGCATCCCGTTTTGAATATACCAAGCCTACGAGTGACTAGCAAGGCTGGTACTCTCACACTCAGTCCAACAGCTAACACTATCCTATGTCCTTGCTTCTGCAGGCCTATGGACTCTTATTGGGGCCATCCGTCACAGTAGGCCAGTTAGATGCTTGCACTACTGAGGGAGTCGTTTCGGTAGTGTAGAAACCCGATGTTGGAACCGTCGTTGAAGAAAAGGTCGTCGTGGCGCTGAAGCTCAGCGACAGGGACATGTTTGATGAAATTGCAGTATCATATACATTGGCATCGTTCAAACACGTCAATCCAAATTGAGTATGGTGGTACTGAGCCATGTTCCACCAGAAACAAGTATTGATTTCTGCGATATTGTAGCAGATGAGAAATTGCACGCGTCATCTGCTGTTGAACTCAAAAATACAGTTTGCGCTATTTTGCTACGTGTGTCACCAGCGTTTTGTTACAGAATTGATACGCGTTTTGCATCAGCCACGCATGTATTTTTGGTATCTGCGTTGGGCGCGATTTCGCTTGATATAGCAACTTTGTAAGGATAAATGCGCGCTCCTCGCACTGAATTAGATAGAACAACTTGCTATTTCCACACTGATCCGTCGATTAGTCAGCACAGTTCATCATCTGCTTTTGGATTGTACGGACGAACTAGGTTTACCAGCATGCCGCGTCTATCCTTCAGTAGTTCAACAAGAAGATCGAAAATCTGTTGATAAATCATCGTTGGCGCTTACAGTATTTCTCCTCCGAAGATAAAGGAACTACTATGTAGAACAAACCGTATGGAAGATCGCCCAAAACGGTACAGATATGATGTTCCACGGTTTAGCTTACGACACGCGTCGTCGGGTCATCGCAGCGGTGGCTCGGACCCTGAGGTGAATAAATGTCGTAAATATCGACAACCGGCAATTTCTAATCTCGATATTTAAAGAAAAAGCATTTCAGTATTAGACCTTTTTGCCATGCGCACCTGGTGTTAATTAGTTGTCCCGCTGCAATTATATCTAGCCACGTGTCACCACCACAGCGTATGGGATACCCAAGCGGCACGCCATAGTCGAGAACACCCTCAACCGGCAGAGTCTGCTAGGGAGCCCTCTCGGTTTACAGTCTCTCAGAATGAACATTCCATTACCTTCTACAACGCATAATCTGGGCTTTGGAACGTGCAGTGCCCCAGTTTCAAACGTTTTTATGCCGCGGTGCCCGCCAGTGCTGCAGCCTTGACCCACGTCTCCCTCTCCTGTAACCCCGTAAACCACTTATCCACGTTCGGATACTTTTCAAATGTTCCCTTGTATCCAAATGCCTTCAAAGCCGACCCATTAGGCAAGTGAAACAAGTCAACCAAGGTCAGGTCGTCTCCCGCAAGATATTTCTGTTTAGCTAGAAGCCTGTCATAGTAAGCGAAAACTTCATCAAGATCAGCTTCGGCTTGAGCGACTCTTGCTTCATCTGGCGGACCAAGACCCTTCACTCTATTCAAACTCCGGTTAGCGACTCTGCAAAGAGAACGGAATATTCGCGAGGGTCAAGAAGACACATACTTTTTGATTACAATCTCAGTTCCGATTGTTTCAGAAGCGGCTGCAAAATAGCTTTGTTCGACAGAACAAGCTTGTTCGAAGAGACCATAGGCCTTATCATCGCCCCCTGGGATCAATTTCGGACCGGAAGTGTAATTCCTGACACAAGAACATCAGTAAGACTAAACTCTTCTACTTTTACTTCCGTCCCTCATCAACACCCAAACGAAGCACGACTTTGAAAGACTTGCCGTGCAAGGTACTTGCAAATAGCCCTACTCTCAAAGATAAGAAACCCGTCATCATCCAACACAGGCACCTTCCCAAAGGGCTGCAACTTCTTGTAGGCCTCGCTCTTCTGGTCTCCCTTGGCAATATCAACGAGGATGTGCTCATACGGGAGGTCCTTCTCTAGAATTGTGACCAAGACACGGGAAAAGGACATAGCAGAGCCATAGAGTTTGAGAACCATTTTCGCGCTCGGATTTTCATATATAGCGGTGATTAGTGTAAGTGTTCTTCTCATGAATCGAGAAGGGACTGATAGCACAACTGCGAGGGCGCCAATCACAAGTTCTGTCGATGGCTTTCTGGTCCCACCAACAGAATAAAAAGTTCCGTTCGCTAGGCAGCTGTGTAAGTACTCGAAAGGTGTATTCATTAGTGTAAACACTAATAAGCACTAGAAATCTACTACGTATGACCGAACTGTGGCTATCCTAATCAGGCAAGAGTTTAGGGTTGAATGGGAATACTTGGCGGTCCGCTCCTGTTTAGTAATCATCAAGATTTCTGTAAGCCAAGTACAAACTCGCATTGAAGGCTTAGCCCTACGAACTTCTCTTCTTCCCTCTCGTCCCCCTCTCGCCACCCAATACGCTTAGCAAGAAGAACATCACTTACGCCAAATCCTCTGCCACAGTCGCAAACATAAGCTCTGATCCCTCTAGTCTGAACGTCTAGTCGCCACTCTCAAATCCCTCCCTCCGCCGCACCTCGACCTCAATCTCCTGATCTGGCTGCTTCACGGCTGCGACCGCATGCGTCTTATGCGCCGTCAAGTGTGGCCATCTGCCTTCGTTCCGACCGGTCGCATTTCATACCTCGTAACAAACATTGTCGTCACAGCCATTGTCACTGTGGTTGCGAAGTGTCGTCCTGGGCAGAGCGTTGTGCCGCCGCCAAAAGCGCGGACAACCCAGTGTGTCGGCCTTTATTCTTCTTCTTCTTCTTCTTCTTCTTCTTCTTCTTCTTCTTCTTCTTCTTCTTCTTCTTCTTCTTCTTCTTCTTCTTCTTCTTCTTCTTCTTCTTCTTCTTCTTCTTCTTCTTCTTCTTCTTCTTCTTCTTCTTCTTCTTCTTCTTCTTCTTCTTCTTCTTCTTCTTCTTCTTCTTCTTCTTCTTCTTCTTCTTCTTCTTCTTCTTCTTCTTCTTCTTCTTCTTCTTCTTCTTCTTCTTCTTCTTCTTCTTCTTCTTCTTCTTCTTCTTCTTCTTCTTCTTCTTCTTCTTCTTCTTCTTCTTCTTCTTCTTCTTCTTCTTCTTCTTCTTCTTCTTCTTCTTCTTCTTCTTCTTCTTCTTCTTCTTCTTCTTCTTCTTCTTCTTCTTCTTCTTCTTCTTCTTCTTCTTCTTCTTCTTCTTCGTCTTCGTCTTCGTCTTCGTCTTCGTCCACATCAGCATCTCTCGGCAATTTACCATCTCTCGTATCTCGATTACATATATCCATGGTATCCGTTTCATTTTTTACCCAAGATGTAACTGCTCTTCTAACCGTTCTACGTGCGCGTCTGGTCTTGACTGGCATAATAACCAACGGTCTTGAAGCTTCCTGGTAGCTTTATAAAGCCCCTTACATACCGATTCATCTGTCATGCCTCCATTCCTCATCTCTTCGTACGTGAACCTCGCTCTCACAGAGTACCAATGAGATTTCGAAATCCCACTAGCTGAATATGCACTGACCAGGCGAATACTCTCGTCGACAAACCCCTCATCACTAATTCGACCGATCCAGCAAGCCGAGATAGAGGTGAGAAATGGTAGACGTTCACGCAGATTCATATCCAAAGATTAGCAACCGCTAAGCGGTCATTCTCTTAATCCATTAGGAGCAAACGACGCGGGAAGGATCGGAGTTGTCAGCATGACCGTGACCAGCAAAATGGAATATTTTGCAATTCGGTAAATGCACAAAATATCTTACTTGTACCGCCCTAGTTCGATAGGATCCAAGACCATTGATTAATAAAGTTTATATAACATTGTCACCTCCTTCGTCGCAGAAGCTGGTTCACGTTGAGTTAGTGTATTCTGCATGACGACAAGGAGCGCCTGGGGTTAGGCTGATTGTCTGGAATCACTTCTTCTTTCCTCGATCAAACTCAGAGTAGAGATGATCCTTACAGACTTCGACGACTAGCGCTGATGCCACGCCTTTATAACCTCGTCCGCCTGCCTGGGGTCCTGTCTGAGCTGCTCCGTGTGCGTAGAAAGCAAGTTTAAGGAGCTGCGTGCATAGATATTCGTACAAGTTGGCTGTATGATACAGCGAAATTGGCTGCAAAGTTGCGGTAGAGATTGAGCAATCAAACGCAGGGAAGATACGGAGAAAACTTGGCCAGTGGGTGCTCATACGGCTTGACAGGTACGACGACTCAATTACGGCGGACTGTTACGGGCTTAAGGCCAATTCAAATTTTTGGATTCCCTGCAGCCCTCAGCTTCACACCACAAGACTCAAGAGTGCGTATAAAGATTCAATTGGTTAACTGTAGTATTTGGTGGATTGTCACCGGCTGAAGACCAATTCAAATTTTTAGATTCCTCGTAATTCCTGCTGGTTATTCTATCTTAACTGATACTACATGTAAATGTGTACGAAGACTTACTTAGTTAGATTAAGCACCCCTAAAAGGATGTCTTAGCAAGATGTCTTTAAGAAAGTATCTCCAAGAGGGTATCCCCAAGAGGGTGTCCCCAAGACCTCAGTGATCTGCTGCCAAGACATTGTGAACTGCAATGAACCCCCTGTGCACAACCAGCCACGTTTCAAACCAGCGCCACTCTGTCAAAACAATGTTCGGCAAGGAGAGTGTCTGCGACAACAACCCTGACCTCCTGAATGAGGTTTGTTATCAACAGCTGAAACGACCCATAGTCGCCAAGCGCGCTGTTTGTGACTGGGTGGTGGCGTCATTGCTATTTGATACACACATCGATCGATCAGGATGTCCCCTGCCTCAGACTTGCTTCGGCTCGGTCTGTAGTACTTTTGATTAGTGACTTGATTTCTATAGTCTGTCATCTCCTCGTGGGCACCGTTTCCTTTCATGTGCGTTGTGTTATGTTTATGAGCTTCTCTCCGGAGAACTGCTTTCAAATTCTAGAGCTTCTCGTTATCCGTATCTGGAGGTCAGTGCCTTCTTTCTGAGATCGATTCCAAGCATGGATATCATGCGGCAACCTCATGAATAAGCCTTCATCATCGATTAACGCAAGCATCAACCATATAATCAAACCCATCTTTCTGATTCTGGCCGATCAGGCGACTCTATGGCTCCTGGCGCATCAGATCCACGAGCTGATGCCGACTTGGTTGGATCTCTTTCTACTCATTCTACTACTGAAGGCTCACGAGCGCCCTTGCAATCACATACAACTACTTCACCTAGGCCGCACACGTCTGGGGAAACCTTCGCGCATTCAAGTGCTGATTTTCGCCCTTATGCCGGTATTTTGGCTGAATCACAGTCTGTCCGTTCAGCAACTCCCTATGAGAATGTTACAGGTCGACTCGCTGAACGAGAAGCTGGATATCTGGCAAGCAGCCGCACAACTCCTATCGAACCGTCCATTAGGGCGCTGACTATGCATCAACCGAGTCGCCGGACAGCTAGACCACAGAGAGGCCATCCACTGACTCGACGCACAGAAGCTGCGGCAAGCTCCCTACCGGATACAGACGAGGCACCGCCAAGAGAGCCGACAGATAGGACAACACGTGTGAGCGGTTCGCGAGATGGGCAGGAAGGAAACGCCAGTCGAAGCGCGTTCTCATGGGTCAACACACGACGCCATGCTATTGAGACTGACTTGAATCATGCCAGAGCTGATTCTTATGAAAGCAATCGACGGGCCTCTAACTTACAGACACCACTTTCTGACTCAGCAGTCCCGGCGCACCGCTCTCTAACCGCTCGTGAATATGAAAGTGGGCCCCCCAAGATTTGTTTCAAGACATTCTTCGCCACTGGTCGCGGAAGAGAAGCTCGCGAAAGCGAAGTTGTATATCACTATCTGGAAAGAATCAAATCACACCACAATAGGGAGGTGCCCTCTCAGCATGCTCGAATGAGACACGCCTATGACAGCCTGGACAACTGGGATTTACTGCGACAAGTGGTGGGACGAGCCGGTGCTGGTAATCATATCCATCCTCACCCTTCCGATAGTGACGCGTACATGTCAGCTAACAACATGCTCCAGAGGTGCTGGCACTTGTCTCACCAGAATATCAGTTCTACGATAGTGATCTGCCTTCAAGCTGGCGGAGCGATGTCAAAGCAACCTGGCGGTTCCTCCATCAACACTATGGCTTTCTCGGTCATGGCACTTTCATGACTGAGACGCTGATTCTCCTTGATCCAAAATGCAACCTCAGGGAATTCAAGCGCATCATCCAGGCCACTATCCACTTCGAACCTGTCCTGGATACAATATTATCTAATCACAATCACAGCACCGAAACGACGGCGCCTGCCCATCATCCAAGCTATTGGCGCGCGAGTCCTGAACTGGCGAACAAAAGTCGACATGAGGCTATTCTACATATCGAGAACATAGCGCACTTGCAAGAGCTGCTCCACTTGCGAGGGATTTTGGGCACTGCTAATTCGTGGTCAACGAGCATTCAATCCAACTACTACTGCCCATCCGAGGTGTTTCGCAATGCTCCACAGATCAGGACGGCGGATGATGTTGTCCAGTGGGGCGAATTTGCCATGTCCTTTGTCGAAGCCTCTCTTTCATGTACGCTACCGCGGCTGCTGAGATTTTCCCCCGACCAGATCGGCTTGAACCGTTTTCTGCGTGGGAGGGGTCGTGGTACCGAAGCGTTGTATGACGGACATGTCAGGCTCACCCGGATGTTTCACGGTTTGTCTGGCGGTGGTGCCCATCCTCCTTAGGTTCTCCGTCACGGGGTCCATTCTACACTTCATGTCCATACTACATTTTATGTCCATTTCTTCGTGTACACTAGCCATTTATGTCGAAGGCAATATACAATAAGTTGGCCGCACCGTAACCAAACCAGAAGGACGGGTGAACCAGTAGCCCTCACGCATCCATGTCTGGAGGAGAACAGTGATCGAAACCTGGAGGGCCACTGTATCGTGAACACACAGCCCTCCTTTACCTCTCTTCCTCACAAGAACCCCCTTCAACCTAGGCGAGAATAGAAAAAAAAGGAATCAGATTAATGACTTTAGCCCCAGTCCGGAAGCGGAATCTCCGATGGCTGTGAGAGAACTGCAACAGTATTATTAGTATGCACAGTTGCGTACACTCCTGGACGATTCATGTTCTAAATCAAGAGTGGGGAGGCTGAGATGGCGTTCAATTCTTATTTTGTAGCCTGGACGACCAGCGCGTCCGGACCCGGATGAATTTTGGATGCATTGTTGCTTCTCCTAACGACTCATATCAATCAGGTTGAATTCTCATTTCAGTTCAGGTAAGATTAAGGATGCTTTAGTGGCTGATTGAACCCATTGCATCGACCCCGGCTTTGCTGCGGAATTCTTTATTACGGGTCGAACATTGTTTGATTGTGGATAGAAAACATATGATTTAGCACTATTGTTGGATGAGGAATACTTTCAGATACTCCTTGACCAGTTTCCTGATAGCCAATTAGGTGAGGAGCAGTAGCCAATGTTTGGGTCGTCAGCGCAGACATCGGTCCCCACTCGACATCTCATTGGTGGGCGCTTTTTTCACAGCCGTCTTGGCGGGTGCTGTTTCCGGACCCTGAAGAGAGTTCCGTGCGACTCTTGGCAGTTCGAAACAGTAGGGTTCACACCAAATAAAGTGCGAGAGGCCCCAGGTTCAGATCCTGGATTGCGCCATTCTTTTTTTTTGGGTCAACTTCTACGTGAAAGGAAATTGACCAGTCAGTATACGCTTTTTGGTCGCTGACCTTTTTGAGCGAGGGAAGGGGTAACGTGAGTCTTCTGGCCCCAGTTTCTGCTTGCAAGTTTTCTTGAATGCATATGCCAAAACTCGACATCTTCATGCTGCCAAAGAGCAATGAACAGGAGTTGTTATTTCTGGATCAATACTTCTCGTTCGGTAGAATCTTGCTGTAGTGCCTAGTCTGACTTGTGCTATCAAACACGAGCTCGACCGAGTCATTGTGATTCACGCGTATATTCACCGGTTGACGGAAGGTCTCGAGTGTATCAATGCCCACGCTAGTGTTTCGGAGCAGACCAATGGGCCGCTGGGAATTGATAGCTAGGACGACGAGTTCGGCGACAGAATTCCAGCTTGCGGCCACGGTACCGGTCGCGATTGTGTAAAGTAGATATCCGGAGATTGCAGCAACATAAAACATGACAACAGCTAAAGAAAGTTTAGTTGTGATTGCAGATATGTCGTACCCGTAGCCTATCGCAAACCTTCGAGTCTCCAGTTTTGTGAGGTCTTCAGGCTTGACCCATACTGTATTGTTGACGAACAGATCGATCTCGTCGAAGTGGCGCAGAAAGTGATGGGCATCAATATAGTCCATGAACGCGGTATACTGCTGCTGATTCATACCATTCATCTCACTTGTCCATTTTTCCGTGCTGTTGAACCTGGAAAAGGCCCAGTTCTGTTGGTCTGATGCCACATAAGATAGGGCGATTGCGTATTGTAGTCCTTGAATTAAATACTCACCATCATCACTGTATTTAGCTGCCCTTTCCAACTCCATGGTGACTGTGTATGCCCTTTGAGCCCAAGCAGGGCTTATTGATACCAGTCTCTTACCGCTCAGCTCCGATAGTACTTTACGGGGATCTTCTTTTGGGTTGGCCGGTTTATCACTGCTGAATACTGTACTAGCAGACAATCTTGTCGTGACTGTCGACCAATACGCATCGATAGTGCACGAAGACAACAGCCATTGATCTTCCGGCTGCGCTGTTTGCGCTGTTACCATAACGAGCGAATGACTGGTAATGTTAGGTGGTAATTTTGCCCACATGATTGACCCACAAAACCGGAGGCCTTGACAAGTATAATCGGTCCGATACAACGAAAGCAGGTCATCCGTCATGGTAGCGTTGGAAGGAAGTAGCAACGGTTTGTAAGAAACCGCGTTCTTCAGGTAGGGTTTGGCTGGACCGAAGTCAACATATCGGCCAGACGGGTCTGTGTCGCTGACTTGCACCAAAGAAGACCAACAGCTCGTGTACACGTAAGGCTGCAAGGCGCGCACCGTCCATAGATAATCTCCAGGAGCTCTAACGAGACTGGTTAAGGACATAGTGGTTGGGACTGTGGCTAAAGTTTCGAAGCTTGAGTTCGCGACGTCTGCGACAGCATCCCAGTTTCCATTTGTGATTGATGCCACAAATTTCGCATTTCGTACTCCGTATTGGTCAACAATTGGCAGTCGCCAGTTCGAGCCAGCACTCATCTGGGCTTGGAAAGATGTCGCGTTGAAAGCAGATTCTGCCCTGAAATGCATCAGCTAGAACTCGGAATGAAATATTTTCCCTACTTGAGATTGCCACCAATGAGATCCACTTTTTCTGGGTAAACATCCTCCAGCTTATTGTAAAAAGCTAGCCTGCTGTATTTAAGATGATTCATCGGTCGAGGGATCATGAGGACAGCTGTTGACGGACCCACAAGTGCTGCTAGCACGATAGCCACTGGCAGAAAGATATGGAGAGCTGATCGCAATGCTATATCGATGTTTGTCGACGTTAGACAACCCCACAGCTGTAGGGACCAGAGACTAGAGATATCTGTCGTGGTAAAAGGCGCCAGAAGTCCACCTAGAGGGAATCCTTTTCCACCAAGGACCTGGTTTCTCACAAGGCCTAATACGACTGTGGCGATAGAGGCTTGAGTGAGGATTTCTACCATCTTTGCTGCAAACTGTAATGGTGCCAATGTGTCTGTCGATATCGAGCCGATGAACGTTGTCTTGATGTTGGCGACTAAGAACGTGACCAGCGTTGCCATCGGTACAATATGGGGCAGCATATGCAGTAGAGCTGCTGTCCGGCTGTCGTAGATAGCTGTCTTCTTCATCTCGTGCGGAGACCGCCATTTGGTTGATTGCCATAGCAGTTGAAGTTTGATGGACCTAAAAGTTGCTGCAAAACATTGATTCAACTTTTCAAATGCCTGAGCGCTTCCCTTCCTCGTCTTAGCAGTCAATAATGGTACTGATGCCATTGCATCTATGTCAACAAGAGCTGCTAGCGGTGTCGCAGCAGCGACGTTTTCACCCTCTTCGTTGAGGTTGAGCTCATCGCACAAAGAAAGTCTGGACACAATTGGACTGTTCGCGACCCTGCGTCGGCTTCCAGCTTTATCAATTAGGCACTCAGCCAACGCCACTAGGGTTCCTCCGGGGCACGAGCGACAGGCGACGATGCTGCGCCATTGCCTAAGAGGCGACACACAATGCAGGCGCGACCTTAGTTGTGGGCGCAGCATCCTTGGCCATGCCTAGACCTTAAGTGGTTATGCATATTCAGTGCGTTGCGAAAGTGCTACGAATCCTTAGCGCTACCCTCGAATTGCTGGTGCCGCAGGGCAGAATTCCTTTAGCCTCAGTCCCAGGCTTTCTCACCTTGGGCTCAGGTGAAAGCAGCAGCAGCCCAGGTTGGCGACCGTAACTGGAAATGTGTGAAAAAGTCTCATGTCCGACTATAGAGGTACGTATCGAAAGCAAATCCGCTTGCCTCCACTGAAAGGATTACTCCACTTTTCAATTAAATCAAGGGCTGCTTTACATTGAGAATGACTGTTCAGTTCAGCAGCAGTATCTAAATGACGCAAAGCCACGATATCAAGAACGATGCTCGCAACTCGCAGGCAAGTATCCGAATCTACGAAATGAGGACTACAAGCGATGGTACCCCTATCCCAACCCCGAGTCACGCAGGGTTGCTTGCTTTCAATTCTTGCCGGACGGAACAGTCCAGGACGATCGCTTCAATGATACGGACAGCTTGATGGCCTTTCTGGCTGTCGAGCCGAGTCCGTCTACTCGGAGGCTGTTCATCTTGGAAAGTTTCAACGACAAGATCCGGGATTTGGTCAGCCTCAAGCTAGACATTGATCCTCAAGTCTTCCATCGTCATACGCGAATCGCTATATGGGAGTCAGCGCGAACAAATGCCGGTAATACGCCACTCTTACCAAGCTTGATCGACTCCACTCGTTCGTGGGCTATGCTATACAGTCAATTGATGCAACTCAACCTCGAGAAGCAAGAATTCACCCTTCGATGTTTTGGCAGTGAGCGGCACATTGCATCATCAAGGTACGATGGGAAGCTTGACGGTATAGGGTCTGTCAGTCGCAAGATTTCGTTCTCGGGTACATGTAGAGGCCAGGATGGATGGGATGGTATGTAAGAATTCCTTTTTTGGCCTGGCAATTGACTAACAATCTGCATCCGTTTTAATCGTCGATGAACCTTTCCGAGGTGCTCTATTCGGAACACACGAGAAGCCTGAAGTGGCTAGGGCGATCAAGGCACCACAACCATGGCAGGGCGGCTACAACGACTTTATCAAATACAGTACGGTCCAAGAGGCTGTCGACGCCGAAACACCGCCAAGGACTTCCACTTTCGACGATCTGTGCTTTTATCACACGCATCATTGCAAACACCTCCAGCTAGATTCAGATCCAAAGTCCGCCACTACGTTTGCTCAGAAGCTTGTGGCCTCGGAATACATGCTGTTGATTGAGTACAACAGGTTCCTCCTTTACCACATCGGCTGGAAACTGTCCCGGCGGAACAATTTCGAAATTTTCAACAGCGTATGGGTGGAACAGACGTGGAGCGACTTGAACTCCTTCCATCAACGAATTCAGACCCATCATCAAAACATCGTCATGGCGACCGCCGATCTAGAGCTGAAGAAGAGTACCACCCAGGGCTGGATGAGCACCACCGAAGACTTTGCGCACATTGAGGAACAGTTTCTATCACTGCGTCAAAAGGCCGAAAGCCTACTCGATTCATTCACTGGTCTTGCCGGCATAGTTGGGAACCATCAATCCCTCGACGAAGCCCGAAGCGTTGGCCTCCTCACCATCCTGGGCATGGCTTTCGTGCCACTGTCGCTCGTTGCCAGCCTCTTCAGCATGGCTGATGAGTACAGACCAGGCGCAGGAGACTTCTGGGTCTACTTTGCCGTCTCGGTCCCCTTCGTCGCACTCATTTTTGCAATGGTCTTCTTGTTCATGTATTGGAGAAGATTGCGCCGACGGCTAAAGTGGATAACTGAATAGCAACTAAGTCATCTTCCGCAGGAGACATTGGAAACATATAACATTCCACGCCAATTTAAATTGTTTTTACTGTCACTGTATTTTGTGATTTCAACCATGTGTTTGGTCTACCTGAGACGGCTCCTAACTACCGATAAAACAATCCCATAAGGAAAAAAATAAGAAAACTGTCGTCCACCACGTACCATATCTCATATCTACAAGCCATTCACGAAGTAAGTCCTCCATTTTCGCGCTCCACAGGATGACAGCAGCCGTCCCACCCCGGCTCCTCAATCTTACTCCCATTCAATAAGACAGCGAATCTGGGGTCAGACTGATCGAGACAGCATCAGACAGCTCATATCAATATGCCTGTCTTAGCCACCGCTAGGACAACGCACTCAAGCATCACCAAACAACGGCAGGGACCCTACCGTCTAGACTTCCTCAATCTAAAAGAATTGCTAACAAACTTCCGCGACGCAGTCTCGATTGCGCGCGACCTCAATATACCATATCTATGGATAGATTCGCTTTGCATCATTCGGCACGGTGATAGCGGCGACGACTTGCGTAGAGAAATGGCAAAGATGGGCTCTATTTACCAGAATGTGTGCCTCACAATTGCTGCTGTATCGTCGCCGGACTCATCCGAAGGTTGTTTCGTGAAAGATGATGGCCGGACATCTGTTTTTCGGTCTCTAACAACACAAACGAAACCCATCTGATCGGTGCTCGTGTGCTCGATAAGAAAGGTCACCCAGTCTCGGCCGACGATGTTAACGATCGCTACCCGCTGCTTGATGGTGTCTGGGTCTTCCAAGAGCGTCTGCTGTCACTGCATCTTCTCCAACGCAACTACGGAGAGTTCGCGTTCGAATGCCTTGAATGCTCACGGTGTGAATGCAGCTTATTCTTGGCGCCACATCCAGGGCTAGGGTCTAGACGATTTGGCAGTATGAATCTCACCCACTGACGCCGCCTCGGGCAGCGCGTCTGGGACGCTCGGAAGCACAACGCCGTGGACTACCGGAAAAACATGGTCAGAATATACATGCAATTCGAACTGTCGTTTCCATCCCATGTGCTGCCTGCGATGGCTAGATGTGCGCAAGCTTTGGCGCGCCATCTTAAGCTCAACTACGTCGCCGGCATGTGAAAGGAGATGCTGCCGACTGATTTACTGTGGTACGTCATGCCTCAGAAGCAAAGGGCGGTTCCTAAACCACGACCAAAAGACTCGACGGCTCCGTCGTGGTCCTGGGCGTCGGTGTTCATGAGGCAAACCATGGCGCATGTTGACTGGTACAGAAGCGAATGGTGGTTGACAAGCGACATGTTCCTACGAGACGCTTTTGAGGAAGCTCATTGCGAGCCGGAAGCGACGACCACTCCGTTCGGCAAACTGAAGGACGCCGCCTACTTGAGGCTCGATGCGGTGTTGTACCCGTGGTATCTTCGTTCGTTCTGCCAGATGGCTGAGCGGGAAAGGGGTTGGAACAGACGTCCAGGGACGAAGGATTTGTTCATCGAGAGGCCGAACCATTCCACAAAATGCACCATGGAGACACAAGAGCTCACAGTCGACGACGCAAATGGTTGAGCTCCACCTCGATGTCCGTTTGGGGGACGAAAGACTGGTGATTGAGACCTTCAGCAGCCAGCGCATTGGCGATCCACCGCACCGCTGAGGGCTTGCACAGATTTATCTGCTGCGTGCACTGCACAAAGAGAATCCACCGAGGAGTTTTGACGTGTTTCTGCTACTCAAACGGATTCCGCCGGCCAATAACAACCCCAACTGTTACCCCCGCATCAGCTTAATGAAGCTGCCGAATGAAGAGGCCGACATACTGACTGGGGATGAGATGACTCACGGCAGAGTGGAACCTCGATAAGAAGAGTTTTGGCTGTTCTGAGCCACTTTATTTTTGATGCTTTGATTGAGGGGAACTTTAGCATTTCCGTCCAGTTTGGGAGGAGGTGCAGATTGTTGATGGCCAAGTTGGTAACTGTGGTGAAGTGCAGTTGGCTGTGATGGTGGTGAGAGTGAACTTGGAGGTATCTGTGGAGTTGAGTTTGGGGAGCCGGGTGTGTAGATAGTTGGGTCAATAGGATCAGACACAGGCGAGTGACTGAGTGAGTAAACAAAGGTACAGCTGGTATTTGTGACTTCGTTACTAATTTGCTAGAGCTTGGGTTGTAACATCTGAATAACCACAAGACGTAGGAAACTCTGCCAGATGTTTGTTCCTTATATAGACATTGAACTTCCTTGTGATCAACGCCTCGACCGCCTCGACCGCCTCGACCGCCTCGACCATTTCGACCATTTCGACCACTCAGGCCACGTAAACTCGTAACCTTCACCACGCAAGCTCATCTCATCTGCTCTCCCTTCCCTCCCGCTCTAGATCCTTCGCTAATCTCTGAACATCCTTCATTTCTTCTACAACCCCCTCCTCGCGGCCCTGAACCCCTCGCCTCTCGCGACCTTCCTCCTCTTCTCCTTCTCTCCCCTCCTCCTCTTACTTCTCGCCGCCGCCTCAGGATCCCTCACAACCTCCAATCTCCTCTTGATCCGTCTCCCCTCCCTCTTCTCGCGCCTCAGCCTCTGCGCCTCCGTCATAGCTTTCACATATTCCGTCGCACCGACTTTCTTCTGCAGAAGATCTAGGACCTCGGATGCCGAGGTGATGAGATCGCGGAAGGTGCTGCTGAAATTGGGATCCGTGCTTGAGGAGGATGAGGAATTGGGCGTTGGGAGGGTGGGGTCTGTGAGGTGGGCTAGGGGGGGGAGGATGGTGGTAGGGAGGAGAGGGTCGAGGGTTGTGGTTGGAGTGTGGTGGATTAAGGCGGCAAGTACAGTGAGGGAGGATTGTTTGGGGAGGAGGGTGGCGCTGGTAAGTTTTCGGGGTTCGTGGCGGAGGATGAGGGAGAGTTGGGTGAGGAGGTAGGCTATTGCAGGGACTCGAGTTCCTTGCGGGAGGACTTCGTTCTCATCATCTGACTTGTGTTCTTCGTCGTCATCAAGATCTGGATTCTCAACCTCTCGTGTCGTGCTGGGCGCTGTAGTATCGATTGATAGACTATTCGCGTTAAAACAGCGTCCTAGAAAAACCAGGTTTCGACCTAGCTGAGCACTCATGTCTCGGGAGGACCAGTTCCTTTTCAGCACACACAGACTAGACCTCATCACGTCAAGTTGTGCCTCACCAGTAAGCTGTAGACCGTGACTTCCGATCAAGGGCAACGATGCTAGCGATGACTTCCCGTTCGCGATTGCAATATCGTGAAAGCAAGCGCCCATCAGTGCCGCACTGCTACTCTGGACCCACGGATGGGGGTAGGTAAGCAAAGCACAAATCCTTGACCATAGTAGGCTTTGTTGATTGGCCATCGCTAAGGCAGGGAACACTGCAGTGATCTTGAGGACCAACTGCAGAGCATGATAGATAGTCTCCCATGTCTCTCCTGCATCGCTGTGGCCTAATTCCTTGACGATCTGGCAAGTTTCTGAAAGTAATGCTGGCACCTCCTTCTCTGCTTTAACGCCTAACACTTCAAACAGGATCTTGAAGGCTTGCAGACCTGTCTTTCGTAAAGCAAGGTTTCCCGATTGCTGGACCCAACCTTGCAAGGAACCAAGAAGTGATTTCAGCTGCTCTGCATCTGCTTTCTCAAAGCAACGGCTAAGCAAAGCGCCTGCCATTTCCCGGCATCCTGCATTGTCGTCGTTCGCCATGATCAATATTAGCGGGATAAAAATCTTTGCAATTAGCTCCTGTGCGACGCTTTCGCCAACTTTATTCAACAGCATATTGATTGCTTCCATGGTGGACTGCCGCCCTTCTGGATATTGGTAGCTGAGGTTCTTAACCAGAAACTTGATTTGTTTGTTCCATCGCTCTTTCGACTGAGGATATTCAAGCACGAAGTGGACGAATACACCTCGCGCAGCATCCCGAGCACTCTGACCATGGTTCGTGATCATCATCATCCCAATCTTCTTGCTGGCGTCATAAACCTCAGGTAACATGATCTTTCGTGCCATCACCGCCTTGATAAAGTTAAAAGTGACACCTTGGCGATCCGGTTGTTCAAGGTCGGGCATGATGCGATGGAGGAGATATGACAGGTCTGACTCTCTTATATGGACACTTCGCCGTTCCCGAAGGATCGCGGCAACGAGCTTCAAGGCTGCTTGGGGAGCTTCACCGTTCGTACTGATCGAGTCCTTGACTACCATGACTGCCTCAATAATGTACAGGCTAGCGTTCTCTTGCAGCTCAGGCATTGGCAGCTTGATGATGGCCGTTAAAGTCCGCATGGCTGATGTTTTGACATCCTCTTGAGCTTGAACCAGAGCGTCGCCGATAACAGGCAAGAAACCATGCACAGATTCCGGCTTCAGCAAGTTATCGTGCTTTTGCAAGGTAGAACGCACCAGGTCTAGAGCGAATTTCGCAAGTTTGTATACTGAAGGAGAATCCCTACTGACCGGGGTTTTGTTAGATCCAGACGCTTGTACTAAGAATCTTTGATGATTTAACTCGTCATTGGTCATCATGTGTTCCTTTGCTGGTTGCATGTTGTGATAAAGCTCTTGGATGACTTCATAGGAGAACATCAGTATATCTCGACTTCCGGCGATAGGATTGCGGGATAATCCAATTCCGATCCTACGAAGCAATTCATCGACTTGCCTGGAGTGTTTGGAGGAGATGTTGCCGGTCAAAAGAGTCTGTAGTGGTCGAATGAGCCGGATTAAATGCTGGACAGTGGTCGATTTGGCCAGCAACTCCATGGAATCAAAGCTCTTCCTGCTCTTTACTTCACGCATCTTACTGATGTAATCTTCTGCATCCTTCTCCTGACCGACAACACCAAAGATGTCATCCGTGATAACGGCAACCAAACCATCTAAGCAATGATCCAGATCTCCAGGTTTGAGGTGGTCTGTGTTAGCGACCAGAATCGAATGGACAGTGTAGGATAGGACATGCAGCTGATAACCTCGAGCAAGAGCAGTCCTTAGCTCTTTCAAGGTCCAGTTAAGGCAGGACGGGCCAAGTATCGACGTGGCCTCGGCGAGTGTTCTACGTGCAATATCTCGAGAATCCTGAGATCGGCTACGAAGGATATAGGCTATGTCCAAGAGCAGCGGCGGCAGGAACTGGGCTATTTGAGCTTGAGGTAGGATTTGGAGAAGCTTGACGGTCGTGATAGCGACTGGAATACGAGATGTCACTTGAGATTCATCCTTTTGGTGGATGAAAGCGGCTAAGTCGGGGATGAAATGTGTCCCCAGTTCATGGGACAGCCTTTCCATGCTCGGTAGAGATTTTCTCAGCGCTGTTTGTCGTTTGACACCTGCCAGCCCCTGCATCTCTGTGTCTTGATTCTCTGTTTCGAGACACAAGGAAGAGATGAGAGCATCGGCTGAAACTCCAAGAAGCTTGATCACATCCTTCTCAGCTTCCGTCTTATTGTTGATATAGCTCTTGTACCTCCGAAGGATTGCGCGAAATTGGCCCCACTCGACCCACTGCAGCAGACTGCCGACTGTCACAATTGCCTGTCCTCGTAAATTGCGTACGCCCTCGTCATCTTTAGGATCGAAGATGAACTTCTCCAGCAAAGGCAAGAAGAAATGGCAGATATTGGTGCTCCTTAACACCCCTTGCTCAGCCTCAGCAGCCAATCTTCGCATTGCACGAATACGGCGGTGATGTTGAATATGTAGAATGTTGTTGAAGAATGAAGCGTCTTCATCGTTGCTTACCAACAGTCCTTGCATGTCACTGATTTCTGTCCAGCTGTAGCATTTTTGAACCATGAGACCGAATAGTGCTAGGTGATCTGCTCGGACAGCTTCCGAATCCGCTTTGGCTGCTTTTCTCACCGCTTCGAAGATGGTGGTCTGGAGCAGCGTATGGAAACCAGGTCGCTGGAGCTCGCAAGCGGCTGATATGAACCGCCGCAGACTCGAAACTGCGTTGGAGCGGATCGCGAAATCGTCGGCGGCTCGTGCAAAATATATTAGATTCTGAAGGATTGGCTCCCAAAGTTCCGGAATCAAATCTGCCACATCCATGGCATTGATTGCATTGAAGGCTTCAAGACGAGAATCATAGTCAATACTGTCCAGCTTATCCCCTGATATTGCGTTCAAGCGAGAACAAAGCGAGGCAGTGATGATTGCCTGAGGGTCACCAAGGGACTGAACTTCCAGAATTTCTGCAAGAGCACTGCGGCTCGGCGAGTCTTTGAAATAGTTAAAAAAAGAGGAGACTGTCTTACGCAGCTGGCCATGTACTAAGGATTCGGCATTGGATGAGGTAAGTCTCAGGAGATGCAACACAGCTCGTAGAAGATCCCCTTTGACCCTCGGGCCGACCCTATCTGACGACTCTTCAAGCAATGTGGTACATGCGCTAAGCAGGCCAGCGACCTCGACTGTGGAGTCAACTAACGGAGTAAGGCTTGCGAGCACGGCGATGACCGAGTCAAGAACCTTTCGAGTCTCTTTGCTCTCTAGAAGGAGGCCCAAGACCCTCAGCAGATGCTGCATGCGAGGCCGAAGGACCGACAAAACTTGCTGCCTGAGACTTGGATTCTCTGCAGCCAGCTGTGGGAGCCTGAGGAATATTTGGTCAAGAATGTAGATCTTAACGGCGTCTTTCGTTGACGGCGTGACCAGACAGTCTGCCACTCTATCCAGAAGAGACTCGTTGTAGACGCTCAAGTACGGCACTTTGCTTGCATCATCTGACCAGGTGGCGAAGAGCTGCAAAAGACCAGATATGCCTTGTGCGTTTTCGACCGCAAAGTTGTCTAGTTTCGGATCAATCGCATACTTGAAAATCGATGGAAGATAGATTGACCAGTTGATGCCGTGGCAAGAGGTCGACATCATACACAGACAGTGTACAGCGGTGCGCCTGATGTTTCTTGCGATCGAATTCTTACTCCCGTGCTTGGAAGCGTCATCAGTACTTCTCTTCTCATTTAGTCTCTGACATGCTCGATACAGGCAATACAGTACTGGTGCGAGGATCCTTTCACCAAATGGTGCCATCTGGCCTTGTAGTGTCTCCAGCATAGATTCGGCAGCTCTCACAAGTCCATTTTGCTTCTCTATGCTCATCACATCAACGGAAAGAGTGCCGTGTTGGATGCTGCCATCGTCGCCAATCTGGATGGAAGTTTTCCCAAACGCAATGTCTAGGAAGTCAGCAATCTCATCGTGTTGCATTTTGAATAGCATTCGTAAAGTTGTCTTTCTCTTTGATTCTTGTCCACCATGGTTTGCTTTCGAGCCAGACCGATTGATCATCTGACCATACAACAGCCGTAATAAAATTGGCAGCAACTCACTCCTATCCTCATTCCTAATGGAGCTAGACTCAACGTCGGAATGGAAAAGGGTAGTGAGCTCGTCACGATATGTCTTCTCGTCCGTTAGCTTGAGAAGGCTCTCCTCGTATCTTCTGACGCCAGGAAGCTTCCAAGTAAAGAGTGCTTGAAGTGCTAATTTCTGAATTTCGGACTGGCCTGCTGTAAGGCACTCTAAAAGCGCATCAAACACCTGCTGGGATTTGTACAACACTTTAGGGTTCTTGAACTTTCCCAATAACTCAAGAAAAGCCTTGCGCTCAGGAAAAGTCCATGCACGCGGTATAGATTCTGGGCTTAGAGTGTGAGAGGATGTTGATGCTGCCGAACCAGGGTACAGGCTGACATAATCCTGAGCTGGTTGCATTGACAGAAACACAGGAACAACGAAGCGTGACCTTCTCTCAGTAGCTTGAGGAATGATTTTCAAAACTTGCAGAGCTTGTAAGCGGCTTAGCAAAATCGGCCCATTATCTGTGCTGGCCCACTGGCCATTCAGCATCTTATCCAGATTCTTCTTGGGTTCATCAAAGAGAGTGAAGGCTTTTTCGGCAATTTCCTTTACCTTTTGGATGTTTGTACATTGATATCGATTTGGCTTCGCTGTTGGTGTTTGTTCCTCTCCCATGGACTCCTGGGGCGGTGAAGAGTGATCCGATGACTGCAGACTTCTCATGACAAGATCGGACACAACTTCCTCGTCAGCCGAATCCTCACACATAGTGTTAATGGCTGAATGCACTTCTTGCACAATAGGTCCAGATTCCGAGGTCAGAAGTCCCAGAAAAAAGTATGGAACGGCTTGTCGCAATAGCATATCAGACTTCACATTCTTATGCAATACGACAAGCCGTCGGATGAGCATTGTGATTTGACGAACTGTCTGCAGATCATAAGGAGTCTCTAATATTTGCAAAATCGTGGAGAGCAAATCCTGAACCTCAATTCGACTCACAATATGGTGCATCAGTCTTACGGAGATGATCTTGATCTCCACCACACAATTCAGAAGATTCTGGGTAAGACGTTTTATAAGTTTAGGAGCCCGTGCGAGTTCAGCATCAGTCATATCTAGTGCCTCAAGATATTCTGACAAGGCCGTCAGGAAGATGGGATTGTGGGCTGGCAGGACAGCACTGTCACAAACCTCCATCCAGAGACTCTTGTCAAGCTTGTCCGTAAACTTTGCAAGTCGAACGTATGTCTTAAAGCCCCGTCCTGCCGAAAATGCCATGCTCGTTACATTCAGGCTTTCCCCTTTTCTTAACATCTTTAAGCTTTGCAGCCGCAGCGGCTCAACGAACTTGATTGCCACAGATTTGTCCTGTGGAAGGGACACGTCCTCGGCAAATTGTGCAAGGGCATCTTTAACGAATTGCGGTGATTCTGGGACGGTCTCATCGGCACAGAGAATTCGCAGGATCTCTTCATCTATTGAGTACTGACTCGACGGACAACCTGGCTGGCTGGGTACCGAAACATGGATTCCGGTGGCAGTCAATTGACGAACTGCAAGGCAACAACCTAGTTGATCTTGCTGCCACTCTCGTATTATGTATTTTTGAAGCTGTGGCAAGACCAGACTCTGAAAACGGTCGCGGCCAAGTTGGTCAGTCAGCAGGCAGAAGGGAAGGAAATAGCGTGATAACGGCTCCGAAGAGAAATGATTCATGAACCTAGTGTTGAATGGAAGGAGTGCGTCCAGAGGAGAAAATTGGAACGTCATGGCAACTGTTGTCAGAATGTCTTGCAAGATAACAGAAGACGAATAGGCTGGTTCTCTTGCAATATTGGCCACATGGTCCAGACCCTCCATAGTAGTATTCCAGTCACTTATCCTTGAACCCTTTCGAGTCCCAATAATGACACGTAGGAGTCTAGCGCTGACCGCGACATCACCAGGCTGGCTTTGCTCGCCTAGTGTACGGCTAAAGTCTCTTATGAGTTTCGCTAGTGGAAAAAAGCCGTCGGCAGTCGTTTCGTGAATGATGGAAATGACTACACCTTCAAGAATTTCCAGATGTGGGTTATCAATATCAGTTGATTGCTTTGCGTGATCGACGAGGCAGCCAACGATCTCGACGCTGCTGGAATGCAACTCGCCATCTATACCTCTTACCGCCTCAGAAAAGAGCGACATCAATCCGAGTTGATACGATAACTTCTCCTTTTGATTCTTTACACCTTGCAAGTCCTCGAAGAGACAAGAAATTACGTTTTCAAGTGGGATTTTGTTCTTGTGATACATGTTGCCTGCCTTTCTGACCAGGAAGGCCATCGATTCGGCAGCGAATCTTATCACGTAAGGCTTCTGTCTCGCTCTTCCAAGGTATGGTGCTATTATGGTCAAAAGAGGTCGTAGATCCGGTACGAGAAGTCTGGAAAGGAACTTAAACATCCAAGCCAAGCAAGAAAAACTCCACTCTATGACTTCGCTCGCATCATGTGTTGCGGCCACTGATAACACCAGGTTGACTGCCTCGGCAAAGTATTTCTCAAATCTCGACCCAAGATCGTGGGCAAAATGCGCAAGCAAGGAAAGCAACGGTTCAGAAGAGACTACGTCCCTCTCCGCAATATGATGTAGCAAGAGTGCAAATATCGAATCGGCATGGTGAATTATCTGTGGTAGGCTTTCACACAGAGGCCTAGCCTTCTGTACAAAGTGTATGAAGTTCTCGGAGAGATTTAGCTCCGCCCAATGATCCAAAGACTGGCCGAAATGCGTTGTCGAGAGTCCTGTGTCCTCTGGCGTGGACTGGTTCTGCTGAACGCGATGTACTGGATCGACCCTCAATCTTGCTATGCGCTCGGAAAAAGGCTCGAATCGATGGGTATTCGTGGTTGCGGATTGCTTTTTTGGCTTCCTGGGAGGGCCACTTGGCCGACCGGGTGAGATCGCGGCCATTGAGGAGAGAATTAAGAGAGTCTATTACCGAGTATATACATACTCTTTGCGAAGGCACGGTTAGGACCTCTGTTATCTCGTTAACTTTTTTTCAAACTGCAGTGCGGAGGAAAATCCGCCTGCAACTCTTCTCCAACGCCAAGGTACACCAGAAGCTTGGCAAATCTTTCCAGGTTGTCTTGGCATCAAGGCGTCTCAACTTAATAGTGTCAGCTTTCAATTGCTTCTTCTTCAAGGGAACCATTATATCTGACTATGCTGGCAATCTCTTCACAACAGCTCTTTCTTCCTTTTCAGCGCCTATCTCCTATCTTCTGGTCTTTATGGTTTTAGAACCAAATCATCAGGCAGCCGTTGGACGTTCTTTCTCTCTTTTGATGCTTTCTGTTCAGCTTGATCTGGACCATGGTGGTCAATATGTGTGTTATTCTTCCCTAATTTCTACTGTCTCATTTCATCTATATTGACGCTTTCAGTATTGTTTTTGGACCAGTCAACGGTTTATTGAAGAAGTTCTTTGCTAGGCTACACAAGATCCTGGCCAAGCAAGATCTATCCTTTGCCATCGTACTCGGGGATCTTTTCAGTGAGGCGCCCAACGAGACACAGGCTCAAGAGACATTTGATCTACTCAATGGAGCCTTAAACGTGCCTTTACCAATTTATTTTGGTGTTGGAAATCACCCACTTCCTGCTCGAGTGACCGAGAAATTGGAAGCATCGGGCGAGGTGTGCGCCAACCTTTTCTTCCTTGGTAGAAGAGGGACTTTGAAGACCTCGGAAGGTATCAGGATCGCTGCACTTGGAGGCAAATTGGTCGAGTCAGATGGCCCTCAGCTTACTACCTTGAGTAATTTCGATGCAAATTTTACAGTGAATGATGCTCGGACCCTCCATGGCGCTCACTCGACCGACATCCTTATAACAAACCAATGGCCACAGGGAGTACGTTCTGGCTCGAGGTTTTATCTCCCAGATGATGCTGAGCCTCCATCCGATGCGCAATGTATATCTGATCTTTGCGTTGCTTTGAAGCCAAGGTATCATCTGTCAACTTCAGCCGCTTCTTATAGCCGTGAACCTTTCTTTCATCCAGCCACTGAGGACGAGCCAGAAGTCACCAAAACGACACGTTTTGAGTCGCTTGCAGCATTCGGTAACGAGAGAAAAGAAAGATGTGTCCTCGCTTTCAAGATTGATCTTTCTGTGGCATCTGCCATAACCTTGCCTCCAGATGTTACACCAATCCCGTTCACAGTCAGTCAGAAGCGTCGTGCTCTACCAGATCAAAATACGAGCTACAGTAGGTATGGAAATGGCAATGGCGATACGTGGCGTCGACCGAAGAGATCCCGTCAATCGGATTACACGAAGCTGGAGAATTGTTTCTTCTGTATCGGTAGCCCTGCACTACAAACCCACCTCATTACTTCAATGGCGGAAGAGTCCTATATCACAGTCCCTCGAGGACCTTTACCGCCACCTGGTACAGGGTCCGATCTTGGCATCCCTGGTCATGCACTGATTATACCTCATACACACGTAGATGATAAGGTCCCTGCTGAGCAGCGAGCTCATCTCTCCAAAAACGAATACGAGGAGATGCAACGATACCGGCGAGCTTTGTGCCGTATGGTGCAAGTGAAAGCCAATGGCAAGCTTGGAGCAGTCTGTTGGGAGATCTCTCGTAGTCACATCCGTCATGTCCATTGGCAGTTCTTACCTGTCCCGTCAGACCTCATCAGCAAAGGCCTGGTACAAGCCGGCTTCAAAGTGGCAGCTGAGAACGGGAACCTGCCGTCATTCAAGAAGTATGATCCAGCTAAGATGGTGGCGGAGAAGGGAGATTACTTTCGGATTTGGATTTGGAAGCCGGCAGGAGCTGCTAAAGTACCAGGTCTCGAAGAAGCCGAAGAAGATGACGAGAATGGTGACGAGACCTCGATGGTTATGCCTATTCCGTCTTCCGAGAGATTCGACATCCAGTTCGGACGCAAAATCATGGCGCAGCTTCTTGGGCTAGGCAATCGTGCTGATTGGCATGACGTGATGCAGACAGAAGCAGAGGAGACTGCAGATGCGGAGGCTTTCAAAGCCGCGTTCGAACCATACGATCCTGCTTTAGAGAGCACTGCAGAGACTAATAGCGCTTGAGGTTGTGAGCATGGAATAGATGCATCATTCGTGGACAATGAGAAGTACTACTCTTCTTGATATATTGATCAAAAGTTTTAGATTTTTGGGCTTAGCATGGATAATGGTTTGCTACATAGCGTGAGATACCCCAACAACTGCTGTCGTCGAGTCAGGTCGAACAAATGGAATATGCTTTGCTATGTCAGGGGCTTCTCCAAAGATGCTGCTCGACTACGTGTCGTCCGTGGAGGGTAGACAGTGAATTTGCCCTTACCAAGGATGCCATGCTCGAAATCGAAGTATGCGTATACCGAAGTAGTCAAGTAGAAAGCTGGTCCATAGATCAATTATTTTAATGCCGTATCATCACAGAATGCACTAGACAAAGAGCGGTGACATTTGTCGTGGACATCCCGAGTGATATATCCAATGGTTACAATGGACAGGCTGTAGAAGCCTTGGGCCGGAACAGAAAGACGCCTTTGACTTTTGCTTGATGATCAATGAGAGTGAGCTGCAAGGCAATGGAAGCAGATCACATGCATTATTGGGGGAGATTTTCGGGCCTTCCGGAGGCCCGCTTCGAATTTTGATTCGCTGACCTGCTAGACGCGTCGCGGACTGACCAGGAATGGTTAGTCAGATGTTTCTTCGCGTCTATCTAATCCCAATCTAGCATTGCCGCGAAACAGTCGCGAGCTGGTCATACTCGGCCATGGCAGATGTTTGAGAAGAGGCCGTGGCCTTCTACAGACCAATTACCTGGTCTGCTATATATGGTAGCGAAACCAGGCCGAAGACCCGTGTTGGAGGCAGAGTCTGCTAGCGTTTCTCACAAAGACAAGGTAGGATGTGCTCCAACATGACACGAGAAGGCGACACGGCCATGGATATGGATAAGATGAGTAAACAAATCTCGAGTCGGCTGACGCAGCGCTGCAGGTAGACTGTAGGCTCAGGTGCATAGAGGGCAATGAATAGGAGGAGATTTTCGCTGGATCACCGATTGTAAGGAGGATGCATGCAGCAGAGGAAACCCCCAGGCTGTCTCAGACAGTGATGCTGGACGCGTTTGGGACGACTGCAGCACCTGACCCTGGTGGCAGCGGTAGAGCGATCATGCATGGGATCCCCGAAATGTAAACATTTGATTCTCTGCACATCCACCTACCTCAGTCGTAGCATTCATATCACGAATTGGATATTTGGATATTTGGATACAACAGAAGTAGCAGGCGTATTGAATATTTCTGGCAGACCAACAACCTCAGCCACCTATTCAACTCAGGCTCGCAACTGGCTCCACTGCTCCGGGCATTTCCAGGCGCTCTTCTGGCGTTGCAAGGCTAAATGTCAACTAAGATTTAGGGTGTGATCCGCGCGGTCAAGACCAAGGCTCCAGCTTCCTCATCCAAATTTTGTCGCTTTGGAACTTCCGCCCAACTGGCAACTGGCATCTGGCATCTGGCAACAACCACATTCCGCTCTCCAACACCCTCTACTTCTCCCCTTTGATCACGTCAGTGTCAGGTCGAAACATAAACATTGCCCTCGTCGCATCTTCAGACCATCAATACCAGCTGCTGGAACACGCTGGCTTCAATTCTACACGATTGACTCGTTGGACGCGCTCCAGCTTACACGACTCACTACTACATTGAATTCCAGCCACTTGCTTTTCAATCACCACTCAGCTTGCGCGCACACGAAGATCGAGCCGCTCCATTCTATACTCCGGACAAGTAAAAGACTAGACTGCCGCTACGTTACAACTTTTGGGTTCATCCCAAACCACAGTCCCACAGCTTAAGGCGCCGATCTTTGGCTCCGCAGACCACGAGAACTGTAGCACCGCATCTTGCTCCGATTCAATTTACTTCCTTCTCAGTTGAGGCACGTCATCCTCACAAACGCAGACACGTCGCAGACGTCTCTCGCTGCCTTCGTCCGCATTCCGTTCCTAAACTTGTTGGTAGAGCGAGAGACGGGTTTGGAAACAGAAGGTACGCTGGGACTTGGGAAGTCAATTGCTGTTTCCATTGGCACCGCTGTCATGGGTGTTTGAAACACTCCTTTGTCAGAAACTCAGCCTTTTGGTACTTTGGCTGTCAAGACTATATTGAAAATTTTCACTTCTTCAGGATGGCTTGTTACCGACCTGGCATGTCGATAACACTTCCACGCAACTTCGCCCCCATGGGTCTCGATAGCCTCGATGAGCCCAAGACACCAGAACAACTCTTTTCCGAAGCCACGTTGCCTCCACCACCGCATCACACTACTCAGCGTATTCGTCGATCAAGAATAGGCAACTTTTCCACCCACAGCCATGTACTACCAACAGTCCTCTTTGCCTCAGACATACCGGTTCCATCTGTTGAAGTCCCGCGCGATACAGGGCCTATACGGCCAGCGTGGCAACAGCGGATCATGCAGTCTTCGCCCAGTGATCGTTTGCAACTTCCTACCAATCGCCATCACTCACGGCCGAAAACACCTTTGGCGCAGACAAAGGCGGAAGAGCCAAACTGGAAGTCAAATGCATGGACGATGGATAGACCTTCATCCTCGCTATCCATGAGATCTGACTCTTCTTCTTCGTCTCTGGAAAGTTTTGTCTCTCGTCCATCATTTGGTGGAAGTTGCACCAGTCCGGAAAGCGATATGACTGACCCATTCATTCCACAAGCTATTAACGTAATTTCTGATACCCCTTCCAAGCCATCTCGCATCTTCACGAGCTTCTCGACGGTTCCCCCGAAGCCGCGCTGGACTATTGAGCAGGACAATCACATTTGGAACACCTACCAGATGTATTTGAGTGATCCTACAATTACCCCGTTCAAAACGGTACCTGGGAGCCTACCACCACTGGGCGTCTGTCATCGAGTTGCCAGGGAGGCACGCAGGACATGGCCGAAAGCTACTCGAGTTCCCCACGAGATTGTCAGGCGACACACCTTCAGAGATGTCATGGATGAATCTTACGCTGTTAGAGACAAGACTCCTGAGGGTGTGCGCGAGACTACGCCTACAGAAAGTTCACAGGCGGATAGAAGGCCACCTTGGCCAAAAGAGTCTGCCACTCGACGAAGACTGAAGGAGCTCTGCAAGCGAAAATTCTCGATAGCACCACATTACCAACGTCTCATGCAGTCGAGAAGTCCATCGCCTTTTCTCGAGTCAAGTCCTCGTCGTTCGAGTTCTCGAGCATCACGACAGTCATCCTTGGTTCATGAGACAACAGCATCGTACACAACTCGCGATCTCGGAATCTCTCTGGTCGCAAGTGGCGCGACTGCTCCCCTGGCGCAGCTAGTCACTGGGGATTCTCCTCCGAAAGAGGCGGAAGAGTGGTTCAACACACCAATCGAGCCACCTTCCAGTTCACCTCCCGTTGCTGCAACTTCTCAGCTTGGTCTGGGAATCAATAGCGACAGCATGACTATTCCCAGGCTTGCTTCTCCATTCAAACCGAATACTTGGGGTCCAAGCCGAGCTCGACGAAACCCTTCTGGCTCTGGACAATTCGACACCGTGCATGCCACTGGGCCCCGTCTCTTCTCACCTTGTCGATTCGATCCTGTTTCATCGACAGCCAACAAACAGAGAGCAGAGCAACATCTCAACACCGAAGTTAGTCCAGATGTAGGTGATTCGCAGCAAGCCAAGCAAGAATTTGTCTTTACTGGAAGTTCAAACGACATCAACCAGCGACGAATCCGTTTGAGAAATAGAGGCAGTACTATGGGAGCTGTTTCGAATCGCGAACGAATCGAGAGACTCTTTACTCCGCCGGGGACTCTGCAAGAACCGCTCACGGAGAATAATACTTCGTCACCAAACGTAAACTCGACACTGATGCCACCAGAAACGGAAGAAAAGTTGAAACGTCTTGGGTCGCCATTTGAGCTTGACCCTAACAAGCGTAGCAATCGTTCCAAGACGCCTCGACATGTCCCTTCCTTATCCGACCCATTTGTGTCGAACCCATTTTCTACGCAGTCCAATACGCAAAGCATTGGAGAACGACTGGCTGCGTTTGGTGCAATGCAGGGCCACAATTCTCAAAACGTCAGTCAACTTGGGGAGAACCTGTCTGATGCGGAGAGGATCAGACAGCAGCTTTTGTCGAGGTTCTAGAGGGCCTTGAAACTCACTATGCACTATCCGAGAGTTCCTTCGAACCTGAGACCCCCTCCAATAGGGAACCCATCAAGCTTTACGACCTTTACGAAATTGCACAGTCATCACCCACCGCTTTACTCGAGCTATCCTGCAGCATTCGCCGCATTTGCACAAACTATTGAAGAACTTTCATCTCACGACGAAAGACGGAGAGCCTGTCAACCTGGAGGTTGAGGGCAAAAGGTCTGTATTTGGGCAGATAAGCGAGTGAACGTGTATACGAGAGTCATGTAGCCTGGGCGTTTGTCAATTTCTTGGGGTTTCTTGTACTTCCTTTACTTTCTATGCGGTCAGTATATATCATCTTGCCTGATCATGGACTGGTCGGTCGCACTACCAGTAAGCCAGCAGCAGAAATCAAAATCTGCCTTTTCAACTGCACCACATTGTCCCAGATGGCGTGTCTCGAATCATCTCTCCTATGTAAGAATTACTCAAGCCGTAGAAGAAGTAGAAGTCAAAGTAGCAAGCCACCTCCTCTGTAATTTCTCCGCTGTGAAATTCATCATCTCTCCATCCTTATCGACCACTCAACCCTCCCTCCCGTAAGTTACAAGCCATCCATCCATCCTCCCTTCTCGACCTCACAGCTACCCACAAGTGACCTCCTTTGGCGCCAGCGTGGAAAGAGAAACCAGCGGAACTATACGTCAAGAGGAAGTCACTCACACTCGGAAGCCAGATAGAGGGTATCTGGTAAGTTCAGAGTTAGAAGCTTGGCCGTAGTCACACTACTGGGAGTAGATAGATAAAACAGCTTGATGATGATTGATGAGTGATGATTGATGACTTTCTGAACTGGATCAGCATGATGATGAATGAGCTAGGTAAACAGACGTGTTCTCTCGCATTGATGGATGGATGGGGTGGGTGGTCTGCTGTGTCCCACGCGCCTCGCTTGGTGGTAGATGCTGGATGGGAAGAAGCAAGAAGCAAGAAGAGGAAGAAACAAAGATGGACCAACTCCTGCGCCCGCGCCTAAGAAATGAGACCAGCAACCTGAAGGCCAATGCCAATGCCAATGCCAATGCCAATGCCAGGGGCAGGAACAGGAAAGATGGAAGTGTCCAAACGCCAGTCCAACGCTTCAGTATCTCGACACGATGCAACGCCCCCATCGCCCGCACAGGCACACCAACTCCCGGCCCCTCCTCCTTTCCCTCCTTCTCTCCTCCTCCACTGCACCCACTGTGCAAACCGATACCGACCCCAAGCGCCGCCATGCATGGGCCTCACCTCTTCCTCGCGGCAGCAGCAGCAGCAGCAGCAGAAGAAGACGAAGCGACCAAGCCATCGACCCTCCTAACCAGGGCCCTCAATCCCTTCCTCTCGCCCTCGCGCTCCAAAAACCGCTCCAACAAGGCCCTCACCCGCGCCATCTCCGCGCACAGAAGCCGCACATCATCCGCGGCCGTGCTCGCCGGCACGCTGGGATTGAGCAAGACGTCAAAGACCTGGCCCCAGATATCGCCCTGCCAGTACCGCTTAAAGCCTTCTTTGAGCCTGTATTTCTTCTTGGCT